TGTTTGTGCCTAGACCGCTTGAGCAGCTACGGGCTCCGCACAAGCGGCCCACGGCTCAAACTAGTGTTGTGCGTTCTGCTCACTCGAGCGATTGAGGGTTTTGCACGAGTGGAGCATGAACCAAGTCTGAGGATTTCATTCTACATGCTCGAGCGGCTCACACTTAAGCACGAGCAGAGCATGACCGCTTGAGCAGTTGGACTTGTCGCACGAGTGGGTAGCAAGAGTGGAAATCATGTTTTCTTGTGTTGACCTCTCCAGCCATTGAATGCATTCTTGACCTTATGTAAACCCTCTGAAATGTGAAATGATGATTAGAAACCATTGAAAAAGGTTGTGAATCACTAAAACAAAAGTGTACAAAATGAACAAATTATTTATCGAATATGTGTGTAACATGTTTATGTAGGTCATGTGCCGGAGGAAATGCCGCAAGATCAAACGCACTGTGAGTAACAATATTACAAAGATATGTTCTTAATTGCTTACTTTGAGCCTTGAATGGTGACTTGTGTCAACAATGTGATTTGATCGAAATGAATAAAGTTTATAAATGTTATATGACATGTGTAATGTGGACCTAAGGTTGTTCTGTTTATGTTATGATATGTTTGGGCCTGAGGCCGTTCTGTTAATGATATGATCATATGTGATTGGACCTGAAGTCGTTCTAAACAGCTATTAATATGTGGGCCCAAGGCTATTCTGTACCTTATGTAGGCCTAAGGCCATTCCGTTAATGATGGGCCTAAGACCGTTCTGTTTATATGATGGGCACGCCGTTCTATTTATATGACGGACCTAAGGTCGTTCTGTTTATATGATGGGCCTGAGGCCATTCCATATTATGTTGGGCCCAAGGCTGTTCTGTATTATGATTATGGATATTGTGAGAGCCTTATCCTCATTTATTTACACTACTTTACTGTATTATTACTCATTGAGCTTCGCACACCCAACATTATGTATACACATGTAGGTGATCTGTAGCATGGAGCCCATCCTTAGAGTCAGCTTCAAGAGCTATTTTGTGAAGATGTTGAGTCATGCCTCAAAGATGGAGTTTTATCTTTGACTCGCATCATGCTTTGACTTTTGTTTGTTTTTGTTATTTTGGCTTTGGGATACATAAACGATATGTATAAAATTTCCTATGGTACTTCAATATATATATTTTTTCATGGGCATGTAAATGTGTGAATGTGTTATAGTGAGCTTTAGAATTCTACTCATATTGGCACAACTCAATGGACTTCTTCATTTGTTGTACGCTTCTACTTATGGCTCTATTATTATAATTTTTTTGTATGTTTGTATGAGGCCGAAGGTAATGAAGTGATTATTGGCCGGTTATGATTTTAACTTTTAGGGGCGGGTTTGGGTCATGATAGAGTGGTATTAGAGCACAAGTTAATATCTCACAGACGAGTCCATTTGAGTAATAAGAAGTCTAGAAAAGGCTTAAGTTGCATTCATGATATAGTATGACATAAAGATGTGCCTTTGTAAATGTAACTTATGTGCATATTTTCTGTGAAAGTTATAATGTATGTTCCTATAGATCATGGTGAGAACAAGGGCAGAAGATGGGGAGGAGTCAACCTCCACACTACTTGATACAATGGAGAGAATGATCATGGAAATGGCAAAGGCTTTTAGATAACAACAACAACCACCACCACCATCAATGTATGTGCCATCACCAGTAGTGCAAGACCACCAAGATGAGGATTGAACTATTGCATTCATAAAGCAATTTAAAAAGATGAAACCGCCATTGTTCAAAGGAGGAATTGACCCACTGAAGGCGGAGGCATGGGTGCTTGGCATAGAAAAACTGTTTGAGGTCTTTCCATATATGGAGGCACAAAAAGTCTTGCTTACTGCTTTTACTCTAGAAGATGAAGCACGCCATTGATGGATGCTTATTTGAGATGAACATCAGGGAATGAATTGGGCTCAATTTTTGGAGGTCTTTATGGAAAGTATTTCCCACAATGTATTCAAGACAGGAAGGTGACAGAATTGGAAAACCTGAAGCAAGGAACAAAACCGTAGTGGAGTATGAAGCACAATTCACCGAGTTAGCCCATTTCGCCCTGTATATGGTCGATACGGACTACAAGAAGGCAAGGAAATTTGTGGGGGGACTCCGGGACTCTATTCTTGAGAAGATTAATGTGTTGAAGTTGTAGAAATACGTGCATGTATTGGATAAGGCCATCATGTCTGAAGGTAACATAGCTAACCGCAATTAATTCTTGAAATGGAAAGGAAAATGGCAGGGTTCTCATGGGCATAAGGGGACGGCGTCCTCACAAAACAAGAAACAGAATTTGAGGACTTCCAGTGCTTTTGGTTCTACCCATGATTTAGCACCAACTTGCCCAGAATGTGGAAAGAAGCATTAGGAAGTTTGCTACCAAGCAATTGGGGCTTGCTTTAAGTGTGGGAAAACGAGATATGTGGTAAGAGATTGTCTTATGATTGGGCAACAAAGGGGGAATAGGCTAACTGCTAGTTCAGCTAGGTCCACTCTTGCAACAAAGACCCTAGCAAGCCTACTACTACTAGAGATAATGTTAGGCAAGAGAGAGTCTTTGCTCTTGTTTTGGGTGATATTCAGAATACAGAAGTTGTGGTTTCAGGCACACTCTTTATCAATGGTAAACCTACTCATATGTTACTTGATTCGGGTTCACTCATTCCTTTGTTTCGAAAACATTTCTCCTCATTTGAATAGATCTATGGAACCGTTGAATTATGTGTTACGTGTGTCTTTACCATCTGGGAACTATATGTTACGTGCATGTGAGCTTTTACTTGGGGATATTCCATTATGTGCTAATTTGATTACCCTTGACATGGTTCACTTTGATATAATTTTGGGGATGGATTGGTTAACTAAGTATCATGCAACCATTGATAATGTGTTTAAACAAGTTGTTGCCGACCTTCGGGACAACATGAGTTTACTTTTGTGGGACATGGGGTAGTTCTTCCACCCTATTTGATATTGGCTATGAAAGCTTGTAAAACTACTTCAGAAAGGTTTTAAGGGTTATTTGTGTAGCATCCTACGTGTAAAGACAACCGATGTGAGTGTTGAAAATATCCCAATTGTTCGAGAATTTCCGGATGCATTTCCTGAGGATTTGCCGGGGGATTTGATAGACCATGAGATTGAATTTGTTATTGATATTGTGCTGGGTACTAAACCGATTTTAAAAGCTCCATATAGAATGTCTCTAATAGAAGTGAAGGAATTGAAAATACGATAGCAAGAGTTGATGGACAATGGGTTTATCCAACCGAGTACATCACCATGGGGTGCACTAGTTCTGTTTGTGAAAAAGAAAGATGGGACACTCCAGTTATGTATTGACTATCGGGAAGTTAATAAGGTGACTGTAAAGAATAAATACCCATTACCACGAATTAATGATTTATTTGATCAATTACAATGGGCACAAGTGTTTTCTAAAATTGACTTGAGATCTGGGTATTATCAGTTGAAAGTCAAATTAGAAGATGCTAAGAAGACTGCCTTCTGAACCAAGTACGGCATTATGAGTTTTTAGTCATGCCATTTGGGTTACAAATGCACTAATAGCTTTTCTGGATTTAATGAATCAAATTTTCAAACCATATTTGGATGATTTTGTGGTCGTATTCATCGATGATATCCTTATTTATTCAAAAATTAAAGAGGAACATGAAAAGCACTTGAGATTAAATCTTTAAACACTTAGAGACAAGAAACTATATGCTAAATTGAAGAAATGTGAATTTTGATTGAATGAAGTTATGTTTTTGGGACATGTGATTAATAAGGACGGTGTGTCTGTTGATCCGCAAAAGATAGAGGCTATTGTGAATTGGCCTACCCCTGCTAATGTTACAGAAGTATGTAGTTTTATGGGCTTGGCAGGTTACTACAGACGATTTGTTAGTGATTTCTCGAAGATTCCCATGCCACTTACCCAGTTGACTAAAAAGGTGTTCCCTTCGAGTGGATAGAACAGAGGGAGTCTACCTTTTAAGAATTGAAGACAAGGCTCATAACAGCACCGGTCCTCGCCTAACCATCACGTACAAAAGGGTTTGTTATTTATAGTGACACTTCTCATAAGGGATTTTGGTGTGTACGTATGTAGAATGGAAGAGTAATTGCGTATGCATCTTGACAATTGAAGTCGCATGAAAGGAATTACCCTACTCATGATTTGGAATTAGCCACAATGGTGTTCGCATTGAAAATATGGTGGCATTATCTTTATGGAGCAACGTGTGAAGTGTACACCAACCACAAGAGCCTCAAGTACTTTGCTCAAAAGGAGCTTAATATGCGACAAAGACGGTGGTTAGAACCTATCAAAGATTATAACTTGCAGATTTATTATCATCCTGGCAAAGTCAATACAGTAGTGGATGCTCTTAGTAGAAAGTCAATGGGAAACCTAGCATGCTTTCTTACGGAGCAGAGTGAACTATTACTTTACTTGGAAAGAATGGAAGTGGAAATTGTGCTACATGAACAGGGTGGAATGTTAGCCGTAATGACAGCATAACCAGCTATTATGGAAGAAATTAAGCGAAGGCAATAAGAGGATGAATTTCTCAAGAAAGTATGTGATGAAATGGAAACGAAGCCAAGACCGAGATTTTCTTTGGAAGCTCAAGTGTTGAAGTTTAAGGGAAAATTGAGTGTTCCAAATGTCCCATAAATTAAAGGAAGAGTGTTAGAAGAAGCTCACAAATCCAAATTTGCTATGCATCTTGGAAGTAGTAAAATGTATCAAGATCTCAAGCAAACTTTATAGTGGCCTAATATAAAGAGGGAGATTATAGAGTTTATCTCAAGATGCCTTCAATGTCAGCAAGTGAAAGAGGAGCACTAAAGGCCGACAGGTTTACTTCAACCCCTCCCTATTCCAGAATGGAAGTGGGAGCACATAACTATGGATTTTATTATGGGCTTACCCCGAACACCCCGAGCTATGGATTCTATATGGGTTATTGTGGATATATTAACTAAGTTTGCTCACTTTTTGCCTGTGAGGACTGTTTATAATGCTGATAGACTTGTTACTGTTTACATTAATGAGATTATTCAATTACACGACGTTCCTGTTTCCATTGTGTTGGATAGAGATTCTAAGTTTGTATTAAGATTTTGGCAAAGCATACAGAAAGTATTGGGGATGGAATTGAGGTTCAGTAACACATTTCATCCACAAACCGATGAGTAGTCTGAAAGGACTATACAGACGCTGGAGGACAGGCTCCGAATGTGTGTGTTAGATTTCCATGAAAGTTGGGAAACTCATTTACCTTTGGCGAAATTTGTATATAACAACAGTTTCCACTCTAGTATTGGGATGGCATCATATGAAGCTTTATATGGGAGAAAATGCCGAACTCTAGTTTGTTAGACCGAAGTTGGGGATAGAGCATTGATTGGGCCTGAAATTGTGCAGATTACTACAAAGAATATTCAAATCATCCAACAGAGATTGAAAATTGCTCAAAGCCGACAAAAGAGGTATGCGGATCAAAGAAGAAGAGACTTAGAATTTGAGGTTGGGGATTATGTTTTTATCAAAGTCACTCTAATGAAAGGGCAAACAAGGTTTGGGAAAAAGGGAAAATTGTCACCCCGGTACATAGGACCATTCCAAATTTTAGAAAGATTGGGTCATGTTGCCTATCAGATTGATTTACCACCGGGCATGGAGCAAGTGCATAATGTGTTCCACGTGTCAATGTTGCGAGGCTACCTTCGGGATCCTTTTCATGTTATTAACTATCATCAGATTGTGCTAGATGATGATATGGTATATGAGGAGAAACCTGTTCGGATCCTTGACAGGCAAGTCAAGCAATTAAGGAACAAGACTATCCCGATGGTTAAATTCGAATGGAAGGAACATTATGGAAAGAAAGCCACTTGGGAATGAGAAGAAGAAATGAGGCAACGATATCCAGAATTGTTTTCAACTTGACGTAAACAAGTTTGGAGGACCAAACTTCCTAAAGGGGGGAAGACTATGATAACCCAACCCGTATTATGCTTAATTAAATATGTGTTTATTTGTTTGATGTGAATTTGCAAGTTAAGTATGTGAATTTTGTGAATTTGGAATTATATCTTTTGAATGTAGGAATATCTGCTGCAATTATAACTTTGAACTAAAATTGAAAGCCTTAGAGGCACCAGAAACCAAAACCGACTTCATATTTGTGTTTAGTATGATTTTTAGAGCCTACGGTGAAATTTTGTAAAATTACAATTCATAATGTTTTAGTTAGCTTAATTTATATACACCTTTAGCTTTTGAGTTCTTCATTATTGAGAGACTTGCTAGAGAGTGAGTTAGAGAGAGAAGAAGAGAGAAAGCTAGGATTTTGGAAGAGATTCAAGGGGCAAATCATAGATTTGAACTAAGGTATGGTAATCTACTTGGAATCTTTGTATGTGTCTCATTTTTTGCTTGAAATCAAGAGGAAATTGGGAATTTTGAGCTAGGGTTCTGAGTTGTGTAATGGTTTGAAATAAAATCAAGAAATCTCTTCAACTTTGAGTGATTTGAGCTCAATCTTGTGATTTATGCATGAAATAAACTCTATAAAGTTTATACAACCAAGTTTTGTTGAAAGATTCACCATGGCCTATGTGTTTTGAGCTTGATGATTTAATTTATAAATGTATAAAATAGATGAGACCATGAATCCAATGTTGAGGCAATATTGATGTGTTTGAGTTGTAACTAGCCTTAAATCATGTTAGTATACCATGTTTTTGAGTTATTTTTGCTTTGATTTGGGCTTGGAAATGGATTTGGAAAGTTTGCGTTTTGTGCCATTTTTGGATTGGTTATTTGTACCCAGACCGCTCGAGTTGCTACAAGCTTCCCATGAGCGGCCCATGGCTCGAACCAGTGTTATGCGTTCTACTAACTCGAGCGGCTGAGGGTTCTGCTCTAGCAGAGCATGAACCAGGTCTTGGAATTTCATTCTGCACACTCGAGCAGCTCACACTTCCACATGAGCGGAGCATGACCGCTCGAGCGGTTGGACTTGCCACACAAGCGGCCAATAGGAGTGAAAATCATGTTTTCTTCTGTTGACCTCTCCAACCTTTGAATGCATTCTTGACCTTATGCAAATCCTTGGAAGTATGAAATGATGATTAGAAACCATTGAAAAAGGTTGTGAATCACTAAAATAAAAGTATACGAAATTAACGATTATTTATCGAATATGTGTATGACATGATGTTTGTGTAGGTCGTGTGCTAGAGGAAACACCGCAAGATCAAACGCACTGTGAGTAACAGTATTGCAAAGATATATTCTTAATTGATTACTTTGAGCCATGACCGGTGACTTGTGTCAACAATGTGTTTTAATGGAAATGAATAAAGTTCATAAATGTTATATGACATGTGCAATGTGAACCTAAAGTTGTTCTGTTTATGCTATGATATGTTTGGGCCTGAGGCCGTTCTGTTAATGATATTATCACATGTGATTGGACCTGAGGTTGTTCTAAACAGCTGTTAATATGTGGGCCCAAGGTCCTTCTATGTGGGCTTGAGGCCGTTCCGTTAATGATGGGCCTAAGGCCGTTCTATTTATATGATAGGCCTAAGGCCATTCTGTTTATATAATGGGCTTAAGGCCGTTCCGTATTATGTTTGGCCCAAGGTCGTTCCGTATTATGATTATGAATATGGTGAGAACCTTATGCTCATTTATTTACACTGCTTTATTGTATTATGACTCATTGAGCTTCGCTCACCCAACATTATGTAGGCACATGTAGGTGATCCGCAACATGGAGCCCATTCTCAGAGTCAGCTTCAAGAGCTATTTTTTGAACTTGTTGAGTCACGCCTCCGAGATGGAGTTTTGCCTTTGACTCACATCAAGCTTTGACTTTTGCTTGTTTTTGTTATTTTGGTTTTGGGATATGTAAACGATATGTATAAAATTTCCTATGGTACTTAAATATATATATATTTTTTTTGGATGGATATGTGAATGTGTAAATGTGTTATGGTGTAAGCTTTATAATTTTGCTCATATTAGTACAGCTCAATGAATTTCTTCATTTATTGTATGCTTCCACTTATGGCCTCATTATTATAATTATTCTATATGTTTATATGAGGCCAAAGATAATCAAGTGATTGCTGGTCAGTTATGATCCAAACTTTTAGGGGCAAGTTTGGATTGCGACAAAATCTAATCATCAACAAGGATTATAATTTCAGATACACCAAATGCAAAATTCCTAACCATTGAAAGAAGAATGGCTGGTATTAGAAAAAAAGATGAAAAAAATGAAGCAAATTTTTCTAAAGAAAATGATCCAGCTCAAGTGCTTTTCTCTTACATGAGCACACAACAAGATGCACTCAACGCATGGTACTTGGACAATGGATGTAACAACTACATGATGGGGAAAGCAAAAACCAGTCAAACGCAAAGGAACCATTGCGGTTCAAACCAAGGGAGGTAAAACATAACTCATTGATGATGTTTTGTTTCATATATTCCGGATTTGACTCAAAATTTATTGAGTGTTGGTCAATTGATTCAAAAAGGATACTTAGTAAATTTTGTTGTAACATAATTCACTAGTGGCTAGTGTCAAAATGGCACCAAACAAAGTGTTTCCACTTACTATGCCACTAGATGAAAATTTTGCATTTGAGATATGAACATTTAAACTATAGACGATTGGAACAACTGACACAAAAGGGCATGGTAATTGGGCTTCCAACAATTGAATAGAATGACAAAAACATGTGAATGATGGATATTTAGAAAATTGCACTGATTACCTTTTCCCATGACTACTTGGCGAGCAAAAGTTCCACTTGAACAGGTGTATCCAGACATTTGTGGACCAACAAGAACTCCCTCATTTGGAAAAATAAAAATAAAATAAAATAAAATTCTTCTCCTTGTTGATGATTTCAACAGGATGATGTGGGTCTACATATTGGAACAAAAGTTAGAGTCTTTCTCAATATTTCTCCAGTTCAAGAAGATAGTAGAAAGACAAAGTGGTCATTGTTTGAAGGTGCCCATAATAGATCGAGGTGGAGAATTCATGTTGAAAGAATTCACAAGTTATTGCAAAAATGAAGGAATCAATCGACAATTGACCATTTGCCATACTCCTCAGCAAAATAGAGTGGTAGAATCGCACCATTGTTGAGATGGCACGGAGCATGCTCAAGGCAAAAGGCCTTCCCAATAATTTTTAGGTTGAAGCAATCAACACTATTGTTTTCATTGCTAACCGATCTCCAACAAAATCTCTTGTCAACAAAATTCCCTATGCAGCTTGGCACAATCGCAAGCTGGTGGTATTTTTTTTTTTTTTTCTCTGAAGTTTTTGGATACATTGCATATATCCTTATTCCTTCCTAATATAGGGAATAATTTGACGAAAAAAGAAAAAAAAATTCATCTTTATCGACTATTGCGACGAATCAAAAGGTTATTGACTTTTTGATCCAAAAACCAATGAATTGGTGACTTCAACGGATGTGCACTTTGATGAAATGAAAGCATGGAACTGGGAAAATTCCAATGAGGTTGAAAAATTCATACAACAAGATCAAGGCAAGCCAAGTTCATCCAATTTAGATTCACTAGTTCTGTAACAAAGTCCTTTTGAAGATAATGACTTGGAATCGAATTTGGAATTGCCTATTAGAATGGTATGACCTTTAAGAGAAATTTATGATTCACGCAATTTTGCATTTTTCCCTTCTAAGCCACAGAATTTTGAAGAAGCAATTAAAAATCAAGTTTGACAAAATGCAATGGATGAAGACATGTCCATAATTTTCAAAAATTACACTTGGGTGGATCATCCTAAACAAAAAGTAGTGGCTGGGCTAAAATGGATCTACAAAACCAAATTGAATGAAGACAACTCGGTGCAAGCGTACAAAGCTCATCTTTTTTCAAAAGGCTACTCACAACAACGTAGAGTAGATTTCAATGAGACTTTTGCACTAGTTATCTGAATAGAGACAATTAGAGCAGTTTTAGCCTTGACAGCACAGCTGGAATTGCGGTCCACCAGCTAGATGTAAACTTAGCATTTTGGAATTGCGATCTAAAAGAAGAAGTATATGTAGAGCAACCACAAGGCTATGTGGTGGAAGGGAAAAAAGACATGGTCTGTCGACTAAGAAAAGCACTTTATGAAAGTTGTATCATCCGCATTGCATCAATCGGTAAAGTACCCGTATGATGGAGGAGTTGCCACTGTCTTTGAAATCTTATCCATTCATCTTTCCCCAAAAGTCACAACACTACTGCTAGAAATACAACATGGCGAAAAGGATTTGTTCCTATCGGGTTTTACATTAGCAGAGGCCCAGCTAGTTCAAACACTCATGGCAAAAAATGAAAGTGTATACGTCAATGCCCAATCAATCTATTTCATAAGTAAACTGGGTCACATTCCAGGGATGAGGTTAGGACAAAGTGGCAGGAAGGGTATTGCTACAGCCGGTGAAGTGCCTCATAACTCGCATGCATTTGGACTAGGGTATACACCTACAGTAGTTGACTAGAAAAGGAAAAGTGAAGAGATCAACGAGAGGATCAAGGAAAAAAGAATCGAGCGACAGTTTGAGTTGGTCCATAAGCCAATTCATGGGACCTTGAATGGGTTCTTTGTCCAAGAATGAGAGGATTTCCCTTTCTGTGGGTTTCCGGAACCATGGATTAACCAAGAGGACAAGAAGAGATACACCGAGTTTGAAATCTTCCTCGACCATCAGCTTTCTCATAGCGATGAAGAATAGGGAAATCCCAACATTGACATCGATCAAGACAGTGATGTTAGATCTAAAAGCAGTATAGAGGACGTCCTGGGTCTAACACAGGCTGATTTGCTACAAGAGTCTGATACTAGTGCTGAACCA